AAATATACCGTGTCGATCTCTCTACCATAATGACTTGACAATTTTTGCATTTTACACGTAAATTAATCTTATGACGATACCTAACTTCTGGTCGTATTGACAAGTCAAACTCGCGACCATCAGTTGACTGGGCGTCTAGACTACAAGAGCTGTATACATGAGACCATTAGTTCACGATGATACCCAAGTACATGTTTCATTAATAATTCCTGTTGTATGTTATTTAAAATCCATTTTTACACACCCTAAGAACGCATTTTGCCTTGATTTGATTGACTGAATGTCTAAATTGACGTAATGATTTTTCTTCCCAAAGAGTTTTCACACTTATTTTTCTAATTCTACAATGTAATATAATACGGTGTCAAATTCAGACACAATCCTAATCTAAACGATTATACTTTTGTTACTAAAAACTAATAATATAAGCTTGTTTACTATAAATAATTAAGAGAGACCGTGATTGGTTGTTTTACAGGTTATTATAGACAACGATTGAAAAACCATCCTTGCCGTCAATCGTTGAACCGAACGCCATAAAAGACTACTGAGACAACCAACCTCTTAGACAACCAACCTCTTGGACAACCAACCTATTAGACAACCAACCTCAGTTTTTCCTACATAGCAACTTATATTATTTTCTACGTATATAATGTTCGTGAACTTTGAATTATTTCAAAGTATATTAAAAAATAATGTCTTTTTTATCGCATTTTCAAGTCAATCAGATTTGCTGATTAATTCCCTTCATTTCTTATGCCTTCTGCCTTTTAATATCGGTTGTATCTCTACATAAGATATAGGTATATACAGTCTACGATCTAAAAATTAATATTTCAGTATATTACTGAATAGTCATACCCGATTATTCATTCCGAAAATGAAGTAAGTGACACATGAAGTTTGTTTCACTTAACACCTTATTCTTAACACACAAGGGCTTATATTTAAAGGACTTTTTATGTATTGGTGTTGGATTTATATATATTATAAGGCCAAGAGGATCAGACAAAAGTTTAGGAGAGAGAAACGTGCGACAGTTGGAAATTTCGTTGGTTTAGAGGTTTTTTTTGAAGTAGTATAATATTATAGGAACTGCCTTAGAGAACAGTTTATACGTTTCTTGTAACAGAGATAATACCAGACTTAATGTTTATACTGGGTATTCTGAAAATATAAATAAAACAAAAATAGTTTCCCCAATAATCAGGAATGAAACCTCTTTGCAGACCAACGAAGCAGTTTAGAAGAAAGAAAAGATAGAATAAGTGTGAAAAATCTTTAAGATGTGAAATTATATATTTTTCATCATGTAGATTAGTTTTAGATTAGATATAGTATAGTTTATTATAATATACATATAATAATAATAATAATATCTTAAATATAAGAATCTAGCGATATGTCTGCAAAAATTTTTACTACGCTGAAATTGAAACTAAAAACAGCTAAACTTTTAGTATCTTTTTTTTTAAATAAAATTTTTCTCTAACAGTCGAAATTAACTGTGTGGCTTGCTATTTTGTTACTTTTATTTTTTATTTGTATTATAAAAACTCATTGCTTAAGCAATCTCATCCTTTTTAAAATTTTACTTTGTGCTTTTTTCCTTTAGGTAGGAATATAATTCCATTTTCACTGAGATCTTTTTATAACCGATCGCCATTATAATTATCTTCACGCATGCTTATAAATATTCAAACTAATCCACAGAGGAAAAAACTCAGTATTATAATAAATATGTTTGCACAATGGCCGAGAATCAACTCAAGGTTAGGCGTACCCATGGCATACAATGGCTGATTTTTCACCTATCTCCTGTCTGTGTAGTATTTCTATTCCATGTGTCAAAGTGTGCTGAACTTTATGATTGGTTCTCATTCCTTCTGAGTGCAAGAAAAGGCCTTCACTCAGTACTGGAACTTTCTTTCTTTCTTTTTACAGAAGCGACCAACGACCACATGAAGCATTCGAAAGTTAGCAATTTTAGGATTAGGGGATTTGGGATTTGGTTTTGTTCGGGGAATGAGAAAGGGCCGATCAGTTGCCGGCCTTTTTGGTGGTTTTGGAGGGATTTAGATAAGGAGAGGATTGTAGATCGCAGCGGTTTTGGGAAGTTGAGGATAAGGAGGTGGGATGTTTTCATGGTTGTATCTACTATAGATCCTGGCTTACAGGAGTTGCAGTGGTTTTGGGAAATTGCAGCGGGCTTGTCCCATGAAAAAAGGGGGAGGTCTAGGGAAATTCGTCCGTCGATAAAGCTTTATTATTATTAGCAGTATTTTTTGTCGCTGGTTTCTGTGAACTGTGGTATCATTCCGGTCGAGCCGTCCTAAAGCTTGGCTCTTTCACAGTTAAGGGCACTAGAACATATTACTGAGATTTTTCCTAAGCTAATTAATTCGCAATAAAGCTTATTCGTGTATACTTCTTGTGGGGTGTTAAATGCCACTTCTTTGTTTAAATTAACTCTCAATATAAAATTTCCCTTCACGCCTAGTTCTATTTTTACAGGATTTTTTACTCCTTGTCTTTCTCGATGCACTGTTTATTATCGTGCTTTTCCTTCTCAAAAGGGTATTCAAAAGCGCACATATAAAATGCAACTTCTCACCAATTAAGTTGTTAGTTACTTGAATAATAAAAGTGACAAAATAACAGCCATACAAATATAATATAGTTTTTATAATTTTAATAATTAATGTATAAAATACGTTTTTATACAAAGACGTGCCGAGATCCACAAGTGTGGTCCCGACAAAAAATGTTTCAAAAAAGATATTTTCAACCTACGGCGATTGTAGTATGTATTTTTTTTACAAACACTTTCTCTCCGGCGTTGGAGATTTGAATGGTGAAACTAAAAGATCAGAGAAAAAATTCTCCTCTTTTTCTAAAAAAAAAACTAAAAAAAATTACAATTTTTTTTTCTCATAATATGACAAGATGAAATTTTAATTTGAAATAATAAAATAGAATAGAAGTAGCCGAAATCGCGCTTTTTAGCGACGTCCATAGAATTTTTTTTTTGAGAGAGAAAAAATGAACGTTTTATTATTATTATTTTTTTTCAATCGTTTCCATTACAATTTTTCTCTAGCTACAGTAAACGGGTATTATTATACTTAGAGTCTAGTCAATAAATATTTTTTTCTTTTCACTTAGATTTAAGTATTAATAAATAAATCTAATTTTTTATTTTTCTACATATTTTTTTCGGTTCCATAGTGTATCTTTTAACTAGACACAACCATATTACATAACAGTATTTTTTTATATTTTTATTTTACGGTCTTCCTTCAGAATTTGGCATTGGCATTTTAAACTAACATCTTGAAGAAAAAAACAGATGGCTGCCGTTGAAAAATCGACTTCGAAACTTTCTATGGAAGTCGATATTTTTCATAATTAATGTATTCGTCACTAAAACTAATAGATATTCTGAAAATGTGCGTAAGAGAAAGAATAGATTTCTCGATGTTTTTTTTTTGTTTACATAATAGTCGCTTTGCCGACTTTCAACTCGGTTACTGACGACTTCCAACTCCCAACATAAGAGTTGTTGTCAGTCGACTTTCGCCTCAAGCTCTCTACTTGTAGATCTAAGTCGATTTCCGACTTCAACATTCTAAAAACCTCCGATTCGTTCCGACTTTCAAATCGGAAAAGTCGTAAACTCGACTCTCTAGCCATTCTCAAAAAAGTTACGTACTACCCAACCTACCAATCGGCATATAAAAGTTTTTTTTCTTATAAAATCGTCTCACTCAGCTGTTATTTTTTTTCTACTAAACATATCTCCAAAAATCTAATTATTATTTTTTTCCACAATAAGTTACTTAGTATCTTTTTTTTTTCTTATATATTTTGTGCTGACTGATGGTAGAGCATTAAAAAAAAAGTTTTTTTTTGCTTAGTTTTTTCTTAAACTTTTTAAAGTTCGCAACCCCTTATTGGCCCGCGTGGTGAATCGTCTTACATCTAACTTACAATTAAAGACTTATATATAACTTCTATATGTTTTCTAAAAAGTATTCTTATTCGCTTTGCACTCATAAGAAGCAAAAGGAGTATTCTTTCGATATATTTTGACTCACATTTTTTCAAAATTTTAATTTTTCATTTCCATTTTTTTTTTTGGATAATGCTCTTTACATTTTACTGCGTGAACGCTTTCCTGTTGTCTTTTACTTAACTTTCCCGTTAAAATTAAAAGTAAAAACATTTTTAAACAAATAAATAAAAAAAGGTTTTTTTAAATAAAAATAAAATGTCAATAATTGACTAGAATTGATACGGAATCTTCGGTTTGAATTTTAAAATTAACGTGAAATTTTAAAGTATGTTTTTGTCATCTTAAAACGATATTAATATCAACAATGATTTTTAAAGCGACAACAAATCATTACAACTTATTCATATTATTTAACAACAAATTAATAACATAACATTTTATTTTATTTTAGTTTTAATTAAAAATAACTTCAAGTCAAAACATGACTAGATTATGGTAACAACAATTTAAATATTTCTTTAAGAAACATTTTGTAATTTCCAAAAACGATTTTTTAAACTTTGAAAATTAACAAAACAAAATCACATTTTCGTTTTTAAATATGGAATCCAAACATTTTAATGTGTCAGTAACTAAAATGAAAAGAACAATTTTTACAACTGATAAAAACTATCACGCGACGACACTTTTTAAATTAAATACTAATTTATACAATAACACAAAAAATAAAAAAATATAACCCATCAACAGTCACAGATATTACAACTAAAAATAATTACAACCGAAGAGTTGTCTTTACTAAAAATCACAATAACAAACTCAAAAAATTTGAGTGATGCACTCAAAAAAAATTATTGACTCAAAAAATTTGAGTGTCACTCAAAAAATTAGGGAGTTTAATTGTTTTAAACATAAAATGAGTGAGTTATGTCCAGTCTTTATGCACACAACAACAGGTTCTTACTGGGTGATTATTTCGATCTCACACAAGGAGGCTTGGAGCAAGCCATTCGTCTTCACCGATCTGAAAAAAAAAGATTAAAATGATAAGTCAAGCTCAATCAATATAAATAATATTTTTACTTAGGGGTGATTTTTCAATAGTTAGATAAAAGTAACCTGGGGAATAATTTATGATGCTGTCGCGTCGGAATGTTCGAATAAGACAGTGACAGCAACAATTTTATTCCTTAGATAACATTTATCTGACTATTGAAAAATCAGCCCATATACGTGCACAAAAAAAAATTAAGGAATATTAAGATATATATTTAAAATCATACGAATTAATTCATTTTAGGTCTCATTAGGCAGCACGTGCACTGGATCGTTCGATTTCCTACAATATGGTTGATTCTCGTCAATTGGGACCTGTCAGCTCTAAACTGACAGAATATTTATTATTCTTTGTGATAAATCTTATTCAGATTCTTTTGCTAAATACATCATGCTAAACATATATAAAATATGCTAAAAATGAAACAAAAAATTTAATTTAAAATCAGTAACCATGGAGTTTCTTCCTCGTTATTCTCCATAGGAATATACGCTTTGGAATGAGTAAATAGCTTCACTAGAGGACTGACCGACAGACTGACACTATATGACAAAACACTGACTGACAAAATTTTGTTTGAAGTTCAAAATTGCCTGTAATGGTCTAATTGATATAAATGAATAAACTTCGACAATTAAATTTCGTATCAAACAAATGTTTTTATATTTTTGTACAGATAAAAAATATTTAATTCGGTAGGTTTCTTTAGTCAAAAAGATGTTTAATTCAACTTTTAAAAACTATGAAAACACTCAATAAGAAGAAAGAAAAATTATTTATTTGCACCGCAAAAATTAAATAAAGACACATGAGGTACAACTTATATGGAGAGTACGCCAGGCGCAAAAAGGCCAAGTGCTCAGCTAAAAAAAATATCAGTCATACCATACTTTATATAAGTCGCAGAGACGAGAAAATCCTAGTGCAGAATCAAAAATTAATCAGTAAGCCATCAAAAAACTCACCGGTTGAACTTGAAAGTGTTGCACGGGGTAATGCAAGACCTGAGGGGGCTGGGACATAGCTGCGACCCCACCGACGGACCCCACGCCGCCCACACCCGCCCCAAGAGCCCAGGGTAGCTGAACACCACCCATACTGGAACAGGCATTCGCATTAGCCCATTGGTTGTACTCCTTGCTGGAAATACAAAGATTACGGGACGTTTACTCCCCACATCCCAGTAAGAGTGGGATTGTGTTAGTATTATAGATTATAATATATACTTGTATAAATATAAACACATTTTTTTTTCAGAATGGGCAGAAATTAGGCCGGAAATTTGGCCGATATAACGCCTGGTGGTGACACTCCTAAGTAATACACAGTCGCTTTTTCTGTCCATGTATGCTTAAATCTTTAAAACTACGCAAAGGATTTTGATGCGGTTTTTTTCTATACCTACTAATATTATAAAGAGGTAGCCCAAGATAGTTCCAAATGGAAAAATACTGTGGAAGCCCTCTGCCCCACCTAGGGGATATAGGAACTTAAGTAAGTAAGTAAGTTTGTATGTAGGGGGTAATCTTTGGAACCGCTGGTCGGATTGCCAAAATTCTTTCACTGATAGATAGCTACAATATTTCTGAGTGCTATAAGCTATAAAACATCACGCTACGATTAAATGGAGCCAAGCAGCGGGTGAAACCGCGCCAGAGTAGCTAGTAATGGATAAAGGGTTAGAAGAGGAGTGTTTATATGTATATACCCAATCCTTCCCCTTCCCTACCCCCAATCCCTCCTCAATCCCTAAATCTCCAAATCCCTAATCCCTAAAAGGTAGACAACGCACTCGTAACTCCTCCGTTGCGGGTGTCCATGGGCGGCGCTGATTGCTTACCATCAGGTAATCCGTCTGCTCGTTTGCCGACCTATTACATAAAAAAATAACGTACATTAAATAGTGGAGAAATTTACAGAGTAATTATAAAAAACTAAAAGACGGCTTGTGATAAACAACTTACCCCATATACTGCTGCTGGTATCCCGCGAAGGCCTGTCCAGCATAAGTGTACCCCTGTACGCCTTGTACGCCTTGGAGGAATCCCCCAAGCTGTTGTGGGTAGGTGTTGTACCAATATGAGGTTGGAGGAACCCCACCTGTGTAGGTCGCGCCGAATGGACTATAGGCTGTGGGGATCTGGAATGGAGGAGAGAGGAATTAAATATATCAAATGAAATTATGAAGCTTGTTATCCCCAAGCTGGTAGTGGATAGGCGTATAGCCAGTCATCATCAGATTTTCTCCTTCTTCTTAAATCAAATGATATTATTTATTTTGTAAGAACCTTGTCCTGATTATAACAGATGCAACAAAAGTTTGTCAAAATTGGTCCAGGCGTTATTGACCCATGTTTTTTCTTTTTTTTTGTCAGGGGAAAATCATCAAATGACTTTTCCCGCCCAGGGTGAGGCGAGAGAGCGTGTCAGACTCTTACTGACTAAACCTGCTCCTTCTCCTGCTCTGGGCCGAGGACGCGGTGCCTCATTGCGCTTACCCCGCAACCCCGGCTGTACATCAGCCCTATAACGCCCCGTCTGTGGTGGTCTATTAGCTCTTTGAGGCGAGCGCGGAACGCTACACGCCGTACGCTCGGGTGTGGTGCTGGTCGGGCGGCGTGCTACCCTTATTCTGTTATTGACCCATAACAACTTGTTACTTTTCCGAGTTAAACTTTCTAAAATTATTAAGACACCATTGCCATACGGTGTAGGAAAACAACGTGAGGAAACCTGGACTTGTAATTTCAAATTATAAGTTTTAATCGCCAATCCGCTTTGAGCCATTTCGATGATTAATGCTGAAACCTTTTCCGTGTGAGAAAGCCGAGAGGCTGTGAGAGGCCTTTGTTCAGCAGTGGGCACTTCTAGGCTGATGATCATGATTATGTGGAATGACATGGCAGTCAGACTCGACAAATGAGGCAGTAATTATGTAATTACATAATGAATGAATAACAAAATTTCCCTAATGCATTGCATTAACAAGTATAAGTATGAAATCAAATTTCAAAGCACCTTACAAAAAGTAGGTATATTTTAAATATTTACAAAAAGCGACCACTTACAAATTCTATTTGATCTTATAAAAGTAATTTACGTGAGTGAAATGAAAACGAATTAATATTAAAAGACGTTAGCTCAATTAGAATTTGAGAATTATGAATTCTTAAAGCTTTACATGTCGTGGTGGCCCGGAGGTTAAGGAGCCCGCTTCTCATGCATGAGGCTGTGGGTTCGAAACCTGGCAAGTACCAATGTGACTTTTTCCGAGTTATATAGTATGTACTTTCTATGATTATTTAGACACCACTGACAAACGTTGGAGGTAAACATCGTGAGGAAACCTGGACTTATAATTTCTTAATAAACTTATAGTTTGAAATCGCCAACCCGCATTGAGCAAGCGTGGTGGTTAATGCTCTAACGTTCTCCGTGTGAGAAGAGGCCTTTGCTCAGCAGTGGGCACTTATAGGCTGATGATGATGGTGATGAAAGCTTCACATCAAAATTGACAATGTGTTACCTTGGCGTGATATCATTATCTTTATATATAAAAAAATCGTGTCACGTGTTTGTCCGCGATGGACTCCTAAACTACTAAACCGATTTTAAATTTGATTTGCACTCCGTGTGCATTCCCGCACGGAACAACACTTTGTGTGATCCATAAATTGTTGTTTCAGGTCTGGGTGTGTTGTGTATGTGAATTTGTATGTTTGAAAATGCACCCACACACTGACACAGGAGAAAATCGAAGTGTGGGGCAACGTTTTTTAAGAAAAAGAAAAAAATAAATGATTGATTGAACAACTACTTATATATTAAGTAGTTAGCGGTGGTAGTGATATTCGTGAGGAGTGGCTTGAGAGACGCCACGGCGTCCTCACCTTCCGTCTGACGCAGGTGCTTACCGGGCACGGCAGCTTCGGTAGGTTCCTGTTTCGGATTCAGCGGGAGGAAACGCCCGAGTGTCGTCATTGTGAGGACCACCTAGAGGATACGGTGGAGCATACGGTAGCGGTATGCCCTGCCTGGGCTGAGCACCGCCGTATCCTCAGGGAAGTGATCGGCGGCGGCGACATCTCGCGCCCGGCCTTAGTCGAGGCCATGGTGCGGAGTGAGAGGAACTGGGACGCCGTCTCCTCCTTTTGTGAAGCAGTCATGCTCGCAAAGAGAGAGGCGGCCCGCGTGAGGGAGCAATCCTCCTCCTCACGCCCCAGCAGCCGCAACTGGCGACACTACGGGCGTCGGGGATCAAGGGACGATCTCCGGCCACCGTAAGCACGGGCCTGCGGTCAGCGAGTAAGGGCAGCTCGCCGCCCGACCAGAACCAGGCCCGAGCGTACGGCGCGTAGCGTTCCGCGCGCGCCTCAAAGAGCCATTCGACCACCACAGACGGGGCCCTAAAGGGCAGATGTTCAGCCGGGGTTGCGGGGTAAGCGCAATGAGGTACCGCGACCTCCGCACAGAGCAGAAGAAGGAACAGGGGGGTTTTTAGTCAGTAAGAGTCTGACACTCCCTCCTGCCCGGCCCTGGGCGGGAGAAGTCATTTGATGATTTTCCCCTCACAAAAACTCCAACCTTACGGGTGTGGGTTTGATGTATATACTTTTTATGATTATTAAGACACCACTGACATACGGTGAAGGAAAACATCTTGAGGAAACCTGGACTTAAAGCCACTACGCCTTTAGCAAGCGTGGTGATTAATGCTCAAACCTTCTCCGTGTGAGAAGAGACGTTTACTCAGCAGTGGGCACTTATAGGCTGATGATATGATGTGTTTAAATAGATACTGTTACACTTTGACCTTGACTTTTCTTACCTGTCCTTGAGCTTGGGCGTTGTTGGGATCCCCTGACTCTTTGCCCCATGAGCACTTGACTGGCTGTCCATTAACATCGGTATTGTGGACAGCAACGATAGCATGCGTTGCACTCTCCTTGGTCGAAAATCTGTGAACACACAACAGCATTGAATACAAAAGTCCTCCCTAACAGGGGTGTGATTCTGTAAGACTTCATTCTGAACTTCGAATCTGAATCCGCTGTGAGTAGTAGTACACTAGCGCTACACTTGCGAGTTGAACTAAATTGACCGCAACATTTTGATAGATAAAGTATGAGATGACGTTAAAAGTGGCATTCTAAAATTTAATTACCCCGTCACTTCGACACTCACTTAGCACTCGAACAAGATTCAAAATCAAACAAATTTTATAGAATCGACGTGCAGGGCCCTATAGAATAGTCCACTTTAAGTGTGAGAGAGCTATGCTTCGTCACGGGCGACTAGACTGGAGAGATACCAAAAAAAAGCTGTCGTGAAACTACCGCAGGGAGCGTTGCGTGACGCCGCGCCGTGTAAGTGAGGTTACCGGAATTATGCACTTAAACCTCTAAAAAATCTTCATCCCTATAAAGCCAGCAACGCACTAGTAACCTCTCTAGCGGCACCTCTACTTGTTTACCATTAAGATAAATAATGGAAGGTAGCAGGTTTTAATTTTTCAGAGAATAGTGAGGCAAACGAGCTATCGGATCACCTGATGGTAAGCAATTAGCGCCGCTCATGGACACCATCAGAGGAATCAAAGGAAGGTTGACGGACTCCTAAAAAGGAGCACGCTCTTTTCTAAAAGATAGTATAAGCTCGGAAATACATACCTTCGCCGAAATAAATATCTTTCCAAAATTTTGCTGTGAGAGGCAGAAAATTTGGCAAAAATGGCACAGTTTTTGACTGCCAACCATCTAAATGAAGACTTGAACTCATACTTACCGTATAAAAGCGTATCCCTTGTCCTTGAAGACACGGATCTCCTGGATGGTTCCAAATGGCTGGAAGGTCTTCTGCATCAGTTCTTCGGTAAGGCCTGTAGTCAGGCCTCCACAGTAGACCGTGCAGTTAGTTGGTGAGCTCTGGTTGTAGACCTCATCGAATGTCAGGGGTTTTGAATTTACTGTAACAAAGAATCAAGGTCAAAAATCAATGACTAAAGGCGAAAGTTAATAATCGAAGATATATAAGTAATAAGTCGACATTGATAGTTGGTATGGTTTTGGTAACTGTAAAAAAATTCAAGGTCAAAGTTGAAAGTCGGAAAGTCAAAAGTCGGTCGAACCCGTCTGGTTCTGGTCCGATATCCTTACCTACCGATCGAAGACCCGGCCGGGCCCCATGAAGTTATATCTATACTAATATTATAAAGAGGTAAAATTTGTAAGTTTGTATGTAGGGGGTAATCTTTGGAACCGCTGGTCGGATTGCCAAAATTCTTTCACTGATGCATGTTAGCAGGTGAAAATGCGGCAGTAGTTAGTAGTTGCCTCAAAGAGCCAATAGACCACCACAGACGGGGCCCTATAGGGCTGTTGTTCAGCCGGGGTTGCGGGGTAAGCGCAATGAAGCACCGTGACCTCTGGCTTAAGCAGGAGAAGGAACGGAGGGGTTTTAGTCAGTAAGAGTCTGACACTCTCTCTCGCCTTACCCTGGGCGGGAGAAGTCATTCGATGTTATCCCAAGCTAAAAAGTAGTAGTTAAAAAAAGAAGAAAACTTACTTTCGTTCTTTGGTGCTGGCGGTTTGCGTGTAGCCCAATTGGTCCTGATCGATCGGGAGCCGAGCCACTGTCCATTCATCGATGTTATGGCCGATTCAGCCTCCTGTAACAAATGCACAGAACATTATATTATATTACATCTCATAAGAAGAAAGTGGTGTCGTGGTGGGCCGCAGTAACACCCTCATGCATGGGAAACGGGCTCCATAACTGGAGCCCGTTTCCCATGCATGAGGGTGTTCGAAACCTGGCAAGTACCAATGTGACTTTTTCCGAGTTACATGTACTTTCTTTGATTATTTAGACACTATTTGCGATCCAAAAATTTTTTTATCCGAAAGGCCGCTTATTATAACGCTGGTGGTCGTTGGCCAGCAAACACCATCTCCCATGGAAGACCATCAGGCAATCAGACTGCTCGTTTGACACCGTATCACAAAAAAATTTACCTATCATATACTAGCAACACACTCCGGTTGCGCCCCGGAGCTTTCTATTCAATCACTCTATCTATTAAAAGGGACCGCATCAAAATCCGTTGCGTAGTTTTAAAGATTTAGGCATAAAGAGGGATATAGGGATTTGGTTTTATAGTAAGGTGTGAAGAATTTGAAACTGATTTTTTGTTCAGTCCAATAAATTCTTGTTCGTCGAAACACCATCACCATCAAAGTCAAAATCATTTATTCCAACTAAACCATAAACAGGTACTTTTGAAACGTCAAAATAGAATAGTAGTCTGTCAGTCTGTTCGTCAGTGAAGCTAGGTGCTCATTCCAAATTGTAGATTCGAATGGAGAAGAACGAGCAAGAAACTCCATTCGTCCAAACATACATGCGGCACTCTTTAAAAAAAAAAACTTCTCATAACTAAATTGCTGCTGCCGTGCAAGCCGCGCAACGTGTCGCTGGTACGATTCCCGCACGGAACAACTCTTTGTGTGATCCACAAATTGTTGTTCCGGGTCTGGGTGTGATGGGCATGTGAAATTGTATGTTTGAAAACGCACCCACGACACAGGAGAAAATCCTATTGTGAGGCAATGTATTTAAAAAAAAAGAAATAAAATACTGTTATCTTCAAAATGCGTTGACGCAGTGGCTGGACTATTCGTTGGCGTGCAACTTGTCGTGGGTTCGATTGACGCATAGAACAACAATTCTTTGAGTGATTCATAAAGATAAGATAAGATAAAGATAATTTATTTGTAAAACACGAGTATACAGAACAAGATACATATTTATATGTTGTAATGTAGGATGTTAAAAGGAGTACAATAACCTTCATGTTTTGCTGTGGCTAACAGCGTACAAATGTATTAACTTAATTAAAATTAATATAATGATTTTTACATGGCATTACAAAGATAAACACAAAAAAAAACCTAAAGGAACCAACTGAATAACAGATGGATAAAAATGTCATAATGTTAGGAATCTGTTAGAAATTCTGTCAAATTCTGATTCACAAACTGTTGTTCCGGGTCTGGGTGTGATGTGTATTTGAAATTCTATAATAAAATTTGTAAACGGACCCAAGACATACTCGAAAATTTCTAGAGTAATGTTTTTTAACGAAATAAAAAATAAGAATAGTGTTCGGGATTGTACTCGAAGCCATAGCATCAATATAATTTAGAATGTAGTCTAACGTAAAATAGCATAAATGTTGTCTCGACGCTCGATAGATGGCGTTGGGATCGAGATATTATATCGCGCTATGGTTTCGTTACCGCTGATAAGGTATACCCTTTTTGATTTTGAATTTTTGTGTGAACTTTGTTTTATAATATACCCTATTCTTTTTCTTTTTTTCTTTTTTTTTTAAAAAACGTTGCCCCACTATAGGATTTTCTCCTGTGTTGTGGGTGCGTTTACAAACATACAATGTCACATACACATGACACCCAGACCCGAAACAACAATTTGTGGATCACACAAAGTGTTGTTTCGTGCGGGAATCGAACCCGCGACACGTTGCACGGCAGCCAGTTGCCCAGCCACCGCACCAACCGTGCAGTCAGTCTATTCGCTCCTATATAGTGGTATTATTTACTTCTCGTTCATCAGGAGCCTATGTAAAAGTTATACAAATAGGTACTAGTACGTAGATAATATCCAACACAACAATTTTATTATCTACAAAAACGCCGCAATTTTTCTCGGAAAAACACTTGAACAGCGACTAATCGATACAATTCATTAAAATTTAATAGATATTGCAAGTTTTCTTTCCCATACATTCCCATAGTACCAATCAATATTCAAATACAGTCATATTTCTGCCGGCAGTTTTGCCCGCGATACTTGGATTAAAAGTAAGCCTATGTGTTATAAGTATAACAGACAGACTATAAATACATAATAATATTAGCTTTTGCCCGCGACACCTTTCGCATGGAAAAGTGATTTCCTGCAGATTTTTGGTATAAAAACTATCCTATGTCCTTTCTCAAGTTCCAAACTATGTCTGTACCAAATTTTACACAAATCGGTTCAGTAGTTTAGGCGTGAAGAAAAGACAGACAGACAGACAGAGTTACTTTCGCATTCATAATAGTAGTTTTGATAGCTAGCTTCCGATCGCGGCTTTGCCCGCGTGATATGTTGATACAAAGTAGCCTATGTCCTATTTCGGAGTGTATCCTATGCATGTGCCAAATTTCATCCAGATCCGTTCAACAGTTTTGGCGTGATTGAGTAACAAAACATCCAAACATCGTAACTTATAAAAGAAAGTCGTGTTAGTTACTCCACTTATAACTCAAGAACGGCTGAACCGATTTAGCTGAAAATTGGTAGGGAGGTAGCTTAGAGCCAGGAGAAGGACATAAGATAGAGTAGGTAGAGTAGGGTAGGTAGACCAGGGTAGATAGAGTAGGGTAGGTAGAGTAGGGTATGTAGAGTAAGGTAGGTAGAGTAGGGTAGGTAGACTAAGGCAGATAGAGTAGGGTAGGTAGAGTAAGGTAAGTAGGTAGAGTAGGGTAGGTAGAGTAGGGTAGGTAGAGTAGGGTAGGTAGACTAAGGTAGATAGAGTAGGGTAGGTAGAGTAAGGTAAGTAGGTAGAGTAGGGTAGGTAGAGTAGGGTAGGTAGGGCAGGGAGAGTAGGTACTTAAATGACGGGAGCGACCGCCGTGGGTAAGAGCTAGTTTATAATATTAGTAAGATAAATTGGCGCATATATAGGATGATTGGTAATATAATTAGTGACTGATATTTACAAACACTTTATTGTAATCATGATAACAAAAAAATTTTCCCAAAGAAACTATTTTAATTGTATTATCGTTAGTTTTAATTTTACTCATCATCAGCCTATAAGTGCCCACTGCTGAGCAAAAGCCTCTTCTCACACGAAGAAGGTTAGAGTATTAATCACCTCGCTTGTTCAAGACGGATTGGCGATTTCAAACTTATAATTGGAAATTATAAGTCCAGGTTTCCTCCTTCACCGTATGTCAGTGGTGTCTAAATAATCATAGACAGTATATATAACTCGGAAAAAGTCACATTGGTACTTGCCAAGTTCCGAACCCACACCCTTGTAATTCATTCATTTTTTAACTGTAACAAAATTACTAGCGCACAGATCCGTCCGTTACAGGTCGATCCACTAAAAGCTTTTTAAGAAGAGAAAGAACTTACCGATTTTTTCAAAAACGAAACGAAGCCATATCCTTTGGACTTCAGAGTCTGTGGGTCGCGGACAACACGGCAATCACTGTGAACAAAAGAAATAAAAAAAATTAAAAATTATGAAAATAGTCTCTGAAGCATGAAGATTTTCAACTTTTTTTGAAGTCGGTTGAAACAAAAGATGATTATATTATCTGTGATTACATAGTAACTCTTTAGATAAACAAACAAAATGTCAACGTATACATTTTCAGATCCGGCGGACATTATTTTTATTAAAAAGCAGCTATTCTCGCTATGTTTCACCCGCTGCTCGGCTCTTATAGATGGTAGCGTAATGTTTTTAGCCTATAGCACTCAGGAACATTGTAGCTATCTATAAGTGAAAAATTTTGGAAATCAAACCAGCCGTTCCAAAGGTTACCCCTACATACTAAATTACAAATTGTACCTTATATTAGTACAAGTTTTTGCCCGCGACTTCGTTCGCGTGGAATAGTTACTTCCTGCACATTTTTGGTATAAAAACTATCCTATGTCCTTTCACGAGTTCCAAACTATGTCTGTACCAAGTATCACAGAAATCGGTTCAGTAGTTTAGGCATGAAGAAATGACAGACAGACAGAGTTACTTTCGCATTTATAATATTAGTGGACATGCATTTGTCGGCTATCACGCCTGGTGGTAAATGAGAATGCGACCTACGATGGAGCACGCCTACCCATAAGCAAACTATTCACTCGGGCCTTGAAGACACCCAGGTTAGGTAGTTCCATTCGAGGAACAAAGACTTTCTTAATGTATTTCTGTACTGGATTACAGAGGCCCAATCCATCCGCAACCACCATCCCCAAAAGCCCGGCAACGCACTCGTTACTCCTTTGGTGTTGCGGGCGTCCATGGGCGGCGCCAATTGCTTCCCATCAGGTAATCCGTCTGCTCGTTTGCCGACCTATCATAAAAAAAATCAGGAACATTGTAGCTATCTATCAGTGTAGGAATTTTGTAAATCCGACCAGCGGTTCCAAAGATTACCCCCTACATACTAAATTAGGGGCGAAACACGTGTCGAGTATAGGTTTGATTGCGTGGCATATGTTTTCCGATTTTTTGCACGTGTGCATATGCATGTTTCCTTTGCTGCATGTGCATATGCATGATGGCATGGGGTGGAATTGCATCCTGCAACAAGCCTAGATTTTGGTCGCGGAGTAAAAACTAAATATTTTTCCTAACATTTAATGTCATGGATTTTCGCAAAGTAACGCCTGAATACATAAATTATGTACCGAAGTCCATGTTTCTTAATAATGTTTTATATTTTTCTTCACCTTAGGTATATCAGTGGCGTCAAAATTTATTCGAAAGTACTATATTTACATGTTTTTTTTACTTGCAATAGACTAGTGCTTGACTGCGATCCCACCTGATGGTAAGCAGTGATGCAATCGTTGATGGTAAGGCGCACTAGTTTATTAACAGCCTATTCACTCTAGCCTTGAAGACACCTAATATGTAACTCGGAAAAAGTCACTCCGGTACTTGCCAAGTTTTTGGGCCACCATGACTGATTAAAAAATATACCTTATTAATTGACAAGTAATAAAATAAGTTTGGCAAAAGAAAGATCCAATATATTTACGAGTATATGGTTCTATACATGAACCTAAGCAAAGTGACATCCAAACATACAGAGCTGACTACAGACATAGAGATAAAAGATGTGCCAGCGGCTCAAGATGGACATAAACTAAGATTTTTTGGCTTTTTGACAAATATCAAGTATGTCATCAGGGTAGGGACGTGGTCAGAAATACAGCGGTTGCATAAGCGGAGCGGAAAGCGGATAGAGGATTCTTTTTACTGAATACAAAAAAATATTTTTTTTGTTTTCTTAAAAAAAAACGTTGCCCCAGACTAGGATTTTCTCCTGTGCCGTGGGTGTATTTACAAACCTTCAATTTTACATACACATTACACCCAGAGACCCGAAACAACAATTTGTAGATCATACAAAGTATTGTTCCGTGCGGGAATCGAACTAGCGACACGATGCACGGCAGCCAGTTGTCCAGCCACCGCGGCTACCGTGCAGTCGAATTTTACCTGATGGTAAGCAATCGGCGTCACCCATACGTTTGAAAGTGAGTCGTGAGCCTTGTGGGAGAGTCAAAGGCTGATTGAGCGGAGCTGAGAGCGAAGAGAGAATTTTTTTATTCTCAGAAACTGCTGAAGAGTTCTGAACAAAATTGGGCACTGAGTGACCATGGCGTTATGTTTCGCTGTGTACCCAAAACGTCGTCAACGCACTCGTAACCTTGTGTTTCCTGTGTGAATGAGCTTACCGGAGGCACAATCCCTCTCCCCAATCTTAAAATTTCCCCCTTATGCCCAAAAGTTCGGTAACGGACTTGTAACTCCTCTGGCGTTGCGGGTGTCCATAGACGGCGCTGAATGCTTACCATGAGCGAACCCGTCCACTGGGTTGCCGTCCTATCAATTGTAGCATATGGGCTAATTTTTATTGGGATTACGTGGGCGAAACCGCTGGCATAATTTTATATTTCATAGCTATCCTGCACGTCGATTCTATAAAATTTGTTTGATTTTGAATCTTGTTCGAGTCCGAAGTGAGCGTCGAAGTGACGGCGAAATAACATTATAGAATGTCACTTTTAACGTCATCTCATACTTTATCTATCAAAATGTTGCTGTCAATTTAGTTCAACTCGCAAGTGTAGCGCTAGTGTACTACTACTCACAGCGGATTCATTCGAAATTTAGAATGAAGTCTTATTTTTATTTATTTATTAAAACTTCATGCACAATGGGTACATAGGCAGACTTAATGCCTTAGGCATTTTCTACCAGTCGAGCCTTGGGTGATGCAGAGATGAGCCAATGGTCGGTGCAAGAAGCAAGCAAACAGACTTAAATTTAAATGAGTGAAGACGAGATAGATACAAATATATGTGCAAATATTTACATACAAGTTACAATACAATAGATATATAAACTAAGTACTCAAATTACATAATATATTTATAAATATATTTATTATCAATTAATATATTTATAAATAAATTTATATATCTTACAGAATCACACTGCTGGTTCTGGTCGTGCGGCGAGTTACCCTCGCGCTAATAGTGGTCGGAGATCGTATCGTATCGTATCGCGATCCCTGACGTTAAGAGCCTCTTCTCCAAGTAATCCTCATTTTTTTATCTCTTAAAAAATTGCTTCGAAAATATTTAAACATGTGTTATGTTTATAAAAAGTAGCTCATGTCCTATTCCGGAGTGTATCCTATGTTTGTGCTAAATTTCATCCAGATCCGTTTTGATGTGATCGAGTAACAAACATTCAAACATCCAAACTTTTCCATTTATAATATTAGTAAGATCGCTATTCACAAATCGCTGTTCACAAACTTAGCATCATGTTCTCCGCTCGCAGTGAGACCTGGCTTACTTGGCGGATATCCAAGCTCAGAATCTACATGTTCTGTCATATTTTAAGTACACTACTTGGTATTAGTATTTCAATCTATGTCACGAAGTTTCTTTTTCTTCATTACCCTACACTGAGATTGAAAAGAGTTCTCATATGGAATCGAGAAGATCAAACGTGAAAACACAGACTAATTTGACCTACAAGGCTCTTGGTAAACATATGTTAAAACTATCAAATTAACAATTTCAATGTTAAAAATAAGTAATAATAAAACGCTTTTCCATAGTTATCATTTAGTAACCCATAGCCATGCACATCAATCTTATATATAAAAATTAATTGCTGTTCATTAGTCTCGCTAGAACTTGAGAACGGCTTATCCGTTTTGGATAATTATGGTCTGAAAATTTTCGTTGAAGTCCAGGGAAGGTTCAAAACATATTTGAGACAGTACGAAGTTTGTCGGATTAGCTAGTAACAATATAATTTTACTACCATATTCCACAATAGTCCTGCATCAACCTGAGATTGTCCTTGGGTGCATTTTTATATTGCAATTGCCGGCTGATGACCCATCACATTTAGATTAAAACTGTTCAACGGGCCTCTCCGAGTTGCTCGCTTCGGCCTTCCAAAGGTCCGGGATCCTGTGGTCCCGTGAAATGAAAAAAAACGCCTTATTTTTTTTAAAAAACAATCTCTGTCCTCAATTCTCAATTCTCTGTCCTCAATTCTCAATTCTGAATCCCCAATCCTTAACAGTCTAAGGGTCATCAACGCTCTTGGAGCTATGGTTGTCTATGTGCGTCACTGGTTGCTTACCATCAGGTAATCCGTTTGCTCGTTTGTCGACATACCTTACACAATTTATGGACATTTGCATGACTAGAGTCATGAATGTCAATCAGATGGAAATATTTGAGATTTAGGAGTAAAGAGATTGCGGATTGGCGTTGAGGATCTAGTGACTACACCCACTACAAGTTTCTGTAAGGCCGTGTAGCAAATCTGCACAGTGGACGCCGTGGCTGAGCAAACTTGCCACGGGTTCTTTTACGGATCATCTGGATATGATGGGTATATGGAACTGTACGTTCCTAAACGCAACCAGCCGGCTTCATCTAGTTTTTTACATATAAATTGACGTGTAAAAGTGCCGTTTTATGGCCTATTTGCAAAAATAAATTCATTGTTTCATTGTTTCATTGTTTCACGACACGGAAGAAAATTTTAGTGTTTTAGTTAAATTTAGTATATTTATTTATTTATATTTATTTATTTATATATTTATATATTTATTTATTTATTTATTTATTTATATATATTTATTTATTTATTTATTTATTTATTTATTTATTATTTATTTATTATAAATTTAGTAGATTTAGTAAAATTTTAGTGTTTGATTCCCGCACGATATACAACTCTTTTCGTGTGATCCACAAATTGTTGTTCCAGGTCTGAGTGTGATGTGTATGTAAAATTGTATATTTGTAAACGCATCCACGACACAGGATGAATTCTAGTGTTTGGCAAAGTTTTTTAAAAGAATAAAGAAAGGATGTACTTACGAAATTTCTCCAAAAGGTGCGAAGGCATCTCGGAGGCTCTGTGTCTCGATTTCAGGACTGAGATCTCCCACGAAAATGTGGTAGTGTTCTGAAACAATATTACATACTGTAAGTCACTATGAAGAACTGAAACATATATGAAACAATTAATTTTATAACTATGCCATTAGACAGCTCTTATACATGTCAACATTGTAGTCAAGATCAAATCATTTATTTCAGATAGACCACTTTTAAATAGACCATAGGAGCTTTTAAATGTTAAACAAATCAACAAGATCAATTTTGTGTCTGTCAGTTGGTCGCTCTTTTCTCCAGTGAAGTTATTTGCTCAAATAAAGAATTAAATTCTCTGTTACATCATTAAGTCGGTTCCATTATGTGAGAACAGTGTAACGCTAATATTCAGCCAAAGGATCTGAAAAAGAAAATGCCCTAAATAACGGGTGTAAAAAGACACTTAACGAAGCCGAAAGCCATGTATTCTACCCATTATTTGGATAATTTTTTTCTTTAAGACCATAGCCGGGACTCCACGGCTTTTCGAGATATTGAAGGTCAAAGATGCATTTTTAATTTTTTTTTTGTAAGTATTATTACAAAACTTTTTTCCAAACAAACATTACCTGAATTTTTGATTTTTCGAAATAAATTACGCATTTGAAGTTACGAACAGTAATGTACGTAATAAATAAATGCAGACCCGCACAAAAATCATCGTGCATCTCAGTAGGATTTTTATTTTACAGAATTGTTTTGTTGTTGCGAAGTAAAACGTCCCGTACCTACGTACTTATCACAGCGTTTTAATGCTAAGCTGTGAACCCACGCACACAATGACACGAAGCCTGTTTGCTTTACATTGCGCGCAATAAAATTATTATTTTTTTGAAACCTAAAAATAAAAGTCGTTTCCCAGTGATAATTTTAGCGTAAAGCTACTTAGTTAGAACGAAAATCTAGACGAAGCCGTAAAATTTAATTCTTACTAGAATATTATAAATGTGGAAATTACGATGTTTAATGTTTTGATGTTTGTTACTCAATCACGCCAAAACGGTTGGACGGATCCGGATGAAGGCACAGGCATAGGATACACTTCGGAATAGGACAAATGCTTCTTTTATATCAACACACCACGCGGGCGAAGCCGCGGGCTAAAGCTAGTATCAAATAAGCATTTATTTTAATCTTTATTATACAAAGTTGAAGAGTTCGTTAATCTGTCTGTCAGTGACAGTAAAGCTAAGTGCTCGTTCTTAAATCTAAATTCGTATGGAGAAAATCAAACAAGAAATTCCGTTATACTTTCAAAACAAAAATTTTTACAACAAATAATTACCCAGGTATTGACGCTTAATCTTAACCTACCAAGGTACGCGCACGCTGCTCATGAGGAAGAACCCCTCTGTGGTTCGCAACTAGTAGAGCTTTTCTCAAAATTACACACGTGAGTAACCCGCGATTTTTAGTTAATTTAGTATGTCTCACTATAGTTATTATAAAAACGTATAAGTGTGGGAGAGCCATGCTTCGGCGCGAATGTCTCTGTTTCGGCTGCCACGATTCTGCAGTGCATCGCATGTGCAGTGCATTCGCAGTGCTTTTGCTGACGCTAGCGTAGATGATTTCTACGCAATTATGCGTAAAAAAGTAGCGTCTGTGGTGCGGCGAGTTCGTGGGAGCCGGAATAGCATTCTGAGGATAATAGGCGACAGAAGTGATACTGTTCTGCTCAGTAGGTTCACTGAACTCCATGTGTTGGGGTACAGTCGGGATTGGTGAGCCTATTGAGTAGACCCCCCCCATACTTAGTGCTAGGTTTAATTATTTATTATTTAATGATTGATTATTAAAATTAGTTATAAGTGGATTAATACTAACAAAATTGCATATGGACTTGGTCTGAATTAAATGATTTTTATTTTATTTTTATTTTATTTTATTTATAATTAATTGCACAGGTTCTTTCGAATTCCAAAATCTAGTCTTGCAACAACTCATCGGCAGCCTATAAGCACCCATTGTTTAGCAAAGGCCTCTACTCACACGGATTTTTATATACATTAATCACAACGCTTGCTTAAGGCGGATTGACTATTTCAAACTTATAATTCGACATTATAAGTCCAGGTTTCCTCACGATATTTTCCTTCACCGTATGTTAGTGGTGTCTAAATAATCATAGAAAGTACATATAACTCGGAAAAAGCCTCATTGCTTAGCCGCACTTTCGAAGCGGGACCTTAACCTCCAGGTAACCACGGCAGCCGAAGTAGTATATACTATAATATACATAAGAACATACATACATTCGGAATACATTAGTAGGTATATATATATATGTATTTCGGTTTCAATCTCCCCTTACTCCGATCAGGCAACTGTCTACATTATGAAAACGAAGTCTAGGGCTGGCGCGCTGGCATATTCAAAAAAAGTTTTTTTAATTACTTTTTACCCGTGTTTAAATACTAGAGTGAATTTGTGTTGTGTGATAAATACTAAGTGGAGACCCAAGCTTCTGTACGAATGGGTCGGCTCGAAAGGAGTGATACCACGGCTTAATAAAAAACCGGCGTAAAACAACCATAGCGTTGTGTTTCGCCGTATGAGTGAGGTTACCAGAGGCCCAATCCTTCCTTTCCCCATTACCAATATTTTCAAATCCTTAATCCCCAAAAAGGTCGGCAACGCACTCCTAACTCCTTCGTTGTTGTTGGTGTCCATGTGCGGCGCTGATTGCCTTCCATAATAAAATAAGATCTTGCGACCCGCCCCGGCTTCGCGCGGGTGAGTAGGTGAAAAAAAGGTATTCTTCAAAGCAGTTCTGCAAGATTTGTTTATGGTGCTAGGCAAACAAGCTTACGGATTACCTGGTGGTAAGCAATCAGCGCCACACCAGAAAATGAAGGGTTTCGGAGATTTAGGGATTGGAGAGGGATCGGGGGTAAGAAAGCCTTGGACGTCAAATAAAATTACACGGCGAAACACAACGCTGTGATTGTTTCACGCAGGTTTTCTACAAGGTCTTGGTATCCCATTTAAGCCGGTCCATTCTTGTCGAAGCTTGTCTCTTTCACACTTAAAAGTCTTCATTTTATGAAAGTCAAAAGTCAAAAATCATTTATTCCAATTAGACCTTTACAGGCACTTTTGAACGTCAAACAAAATTCTTAAAAAAATTATGTCAGTCTGTCGGTCAGTCCTCTTAGTGAAGCTATTTGCTCGTTCCAAAGTGTAGATTCCGATGGAGAAGAACGAGCAAGAAACTCCATGGTTACTCTTTTTAAATCAGTTTCACATACAGATTCCTTTTACAAACAGTTGGTTCAATTATGTGAGAACAGTGTAACAGTAATATTTATTCAAATATAAAAATATAGTAACCTTAAGGACAATAGACAGTCTGGAGCTGACCAGTCCCAACTGACAGCGCCCGTTCACGAGCGTGACACGTACACCAGCACCGCCCAACTCAACCATATTATAGGGAATTAAGCGATCCAGCGCCCATGCCACCGCCAGTGTGACCTTTCAGTGAGCATGACAACTCCAAGCTGTTATAAGGACCGACATTCTGCTAGTCTAACCAATTATAAACCGAAGCTGAGCAGTCGAAATTATAAATCGAAAAAAAAAATTGTTAAAAAAAAGTGACAGACATAATTATTGCGAAGTGACACCCCTATATAAGCTGGAACGGGCTTGCAGAGTCCAAATGAAATTCAATCGTGGCTCAGCAGGATTATATCATAAAATCTTACTTTCTACTCCATCCGTGCATAGCGGAATGGGGTAAGTAGAAATGTTGGTTCGAATATAAAAACGAAATCATAGGTAGGTTTATAAAAATTAAAGGACTGCACGGTCGGCGCGGTGACTGGGCAACTGGCTGCCGTGCAACGTGTCGCGGTTTCGACTCCCGCACGGAACAACTCTTTGTGTGATCCACAAATTGTTGTTCCGGGTCTGGGTGTGATGTGCATGTGGAATTGAATGTTTGTAAACGCACCCACGACACAGGAGAAAATCCTAATGTGGGGCAACGTTTTTTAAAAAAAGAACGTTTTTTTAAAAAAAGTTTTTTTTTTGAAGAATTATCGTACCAAGTTTTGTTAAAATCTGTCGAGTAGTTTTTGTTTCTATAAGGAATATACAGACAGACAGACAGAAAGACAAAAATTTACAAATTAGATTTTTGGCATCAGTATCGATCACTAATCAACCCCTGATAGTTAAAAGTAAAAAAAAGGTCAAAAATCATTTATTCCAATTAGACCCTTACATGCACTTTTGAATTTTGAAGATATAGTGTCAGTCTGTCGGTCAGTCCTCTTAGTGAAGCTTTAGTTATTTTGGAAATATATTTCATGTACAGAATTGACCTCTCTTTTTTTCTTTTATTTTGTCAGAGGAAAATCATCAAATGGTTTCTCCCGACCAGGGTTAGGCAAGAGAGAGTGTCAGACTCTTACTGACTAAAAAACCCCCGTTCCTTCTCCTGCTCTGGGCCGAGGCCGTGGTGACTCTTAACCCGTAACCCCGGCTGAACATCAGCCCTATAGGGCCCCGTCTGTGGTGGGCCATTGGCTCTTGGAGGCGCGCGCGGAACGCTACGCGCCGTACGCTCGGGTCTGGTTCTGGTTGGGAGACGAGCTACCCTTACTCGCCTTCCGAAGACCCGCGCTTACGGTGGCCGGAGATCATGTCTCGAGAATTTACCTCTCTACAGATTTATTATAAGTAAAGATAGATTAACGGAGAGTAAAGAAAAAAATGACTCCACGTGTATTAACACGTGGAGTCATTTTTCAGTGGAGATAAACACGTGGAGTGTTTATTTAGTTATTTAGTTTTAATTAATTATAATTAAAAAATACTTCATTTAAAGACTCTTTATCGTGGGCACACGTGAGCGCCATGTTCGAGACGATAATGGATTTATTTTATAATGAAATATTGATCCTTTAATTTGTATTGTAACCACTTTTAATTGTCTGATTTTTTATGGCATATATTTTAAGTAAGTATATACAATATTGTGCTAATTAATGTTTTTGGTGAGCTTTTTAAGAGTGCTAAATAGCTATTTTAATTATTTGACACTTTTTTGTTTATGAAGTCGGTTTTTTTATTTTTAATCATAAGTTCGAAATCGCCAATCCGTTTTGAACACGCGAGGTGATTAAACTCAAACCTTCTCCGTGTGAAAAGAGGTCTTTGCTCAGCAGTGGACACTTATAGGCTGATGATGATGATGATTATTCTTTTCGAAGCTTAAAAGGCTTAGTTACCATGTTTGTCTATATAAACATAGCTATGATGATCCCGTCCCAACCATAGGGTGGGCCTTGTGATGCAAATTAATGTTTTAATTATGATGCAACACGACTCGGTTGGTGACCTACTTACATACATATATAGCTTGAAGTTAAATATACATAGAACGGACTTCAATGAGATTTTGAACTCGGACGTACATAAAAAAAATATAAACATTCTGAAGAAAATATAAAGTGTCAAAAAAGTAAAAAATCATTTATTCCAATTAGACCCTTACAGGCCTTACTATTGAACGTCAAACAATCCCCAGAATAAACCTTCTTAAAATGCCCATCAAAATAACGCATTTCCTTAAAGGACGCGACCATTTTTTCGTTTATAAATAAAATAGTTTTTTTTTTTAATTCTGAAAGTGAAAGTTCCAATACACATTTCAGGACATTGTGTTATTTCAATCTTTTAACTGAAAACTGAAAGTTCATAGTCATTATTGCATTGTGTGATGTAGGTCACGAATACAACTGTTTTTGAAAACTATAGACTTAAAAATAGCATTGTATTGTTTGTCTGTTTGTCGATGCTTTGGTTTTGTATATATACAAGACATAAACATATATATATTGGTATATCTATGTATACTTCTTATACAAGTAACTCTGTCTATCTGTCTGTCTGTATTTTCTTCACGCCTAAACTACTGGACATATTTGTGTGAAATTTGGTACATACATAGTTTGGAACTTGAGAAAGGACATAGGATAGTTTTTTGAAGTCACTATTTCACGCAAACAAGATCGCGGGAAAAAGCTGGTTATACATATAAACCTTCCTCTTCCGTTACTCTATCTATAAAAACCGCATCGAAACCCGTTGCGTAGTTTTAAAGAATTAGGACATAGGGACAGGGAAAGCGATATTATTTTATACCGTTCTTGTGACGTTTATCCAAAGAGGCAGTTATACAATATGGAGTTCTAAAATCAAATTTGAAATTGGAACGACCCTTTAATTTAACAAAATAACATTACGAATAAAACGATAGACCCCAGTGCTCGTATCTTGAAAATTCGTGGGCAAAAATATAATGATATGTAAACATTCAACGGGAAAATTCGTCGAAAAGAGTTTGAATTGAAACAACAAGAGCGAAAAAAATGGCGATTTTTTTTTTGTCTGCCCAATCATATAATTCTGGACCACTAGGGAAATTTCACAGTACGATTGACAATTCGTCGAAATATCTACATTGTGTGTGTTTATTTAGTGTATATTTTATATTTATTTTGGCTGAGATTTTCTCGATTCGGCCCACTGGGGTGCCGTGTTTACTTAAATCGAATTAAAAAGTTTTTTTGCTGTTGGAATTTCGTTCCATTGAATATTATTATTCTAAGATTTGAAATGCCATGCTAGTACAACGGCCAGGCCTGTCTCCCCGAGCTCTCAGCATGGACGAGTCTCTCTATATTAAAAATGTTCAACGGCTGGGCCTGTCCCCCGAGATCTCAGCACAGAGGAGTCTCTCTATGTTAAGAATGTTAGTACAACGGCCGGGCCTGTCTCCCCGAGCTCTCAGCACGGAGGAGTCTCTCTATGTTAAGAATGTTAGTACAACGGCCGGGCCTGTCTCCCCGAGCTCTCTGCACGGAGGAGTCTCTCTATGTTCTTGAATGTTAGTACAACGGCCGGGCCTGTCTCCCCGAGCTCTCAGCACGGAGGAGTCTCTCTATGTTAAGAATGTTAGTACAACGGCCGGGCCTGTCTCCCCGAGCTCTCAGCACGGAGGAGTCTCTTTATGTTAAGAATGTTAGTACAACGGCCGGGCCTGTCTCCCCGAGCTCTCAGCACGGAGGAGTCTCTCTATGTTAAGAATGTTAGTACAACGGCCGGGCCTGTCTCCCCGAGCTCTCAGCACGGAGGAGTCTCTCTATGTTAAGAATGTTAGTACAACGGCCGGGCCTGTCTCCCCGAGCTCTCAGCACGGAGGAGTCTCTCTATGTTAAGAATGTTAGTACAACGGCCGGGCCTGTCTCCCCGAGCTCTCAGCACGGAGGAGTCTCTCTATGTTAAGAATGTTAGTACAACGGCCGGGCCTGTCTCCCCGAGCTCTCAGCACGGAGGAGTCTCTCTATGTTCTTGAATGTTAGTACAACGGCCGGGCCTGTCTCCCCGAGCTCTCAGCACGGAGGAGTCTCTCTATGTTAAGAATGTTAGTACAACGGCCGGGCCTGTCTCCCCGAGCTCTCAGCACGGAGGAGTCTCTCAATGTTAAGAATGTTAGTACAACGGCCGGGCCTGTCTACCTGTAGCATGGTTCTCCCACAGTTGCAAATTAAGACCAGTTTGTCATCAAAGCTCCATGGCCTTATAAAAACATTTTACGGCTGTTGTCCCGTTGCCATGGTAACCAATGCTCGTCAACCTCCAGGGAGCTATGGGGGCGTTGAAATACTGTTTTTAGATATGGGTTTGTTGCCCTCTTGGTAGGATAAGTTCTTTATTCGGTTTATGGGTATTCATATTATGGTGTTATTGGTTTAAAGTTTAGTTTTTTGTTTCGTTGTGTTTTAAAAATATGCAGTGTGTTAGAATAAATGTAGAATTATTGAATTAGCCGATTTTGGTGCTCAATATTACAATAACTTATTCCAAAAGACATTTTTTTTTATCCTCATTCAAGTCGCAACATACTTATACTCACAGAAAACCACACACAGCGTTGTGTTTCGCCGTTTGAGTGAGGTAGTGAGGTTACCGGAAGCCCAATCCTTCCCCTCCCCGAATCCCTAGATAGATCTCCAAAAACCTAAAAAGTCGGCAACGCACTCGTATATTTAGACACCACTGACATACGGTAAAGGAAAAATCCTGAGAAAACCATAAATTTCTAATTATAAGTTTGAAATCGCCAATCCACCACAAACTCTCTCTATGTGAGAAGAGGTCTTTGCTCAGTACGCTGATGATGTGATGTGATGACCTAAACCTAGTATTTTCTTCTGTGTCGTGGGTGCGTTTACAAACATACAATTTCACATACACATCACACCCAGACCCGGAACAACAATTTGTAGATCGCACTTGATAGGTCTTGATAGCACTTAGCTTCACTTTTTTTATGTAATAGATCGGCAAACGAGCAGACAGGTTACCTGATGGTAAGCAATCAGCGCCGCCCATGGACACCAGCAACGTTAGAGGATTAGAGATTTGGAGATTTTGAGATTGAGGAGGGATTGTGGGTGGGGAAGGGTTGGGCCTCCGGTAACCTCACTTACACGGCGAAACACAACGCTGTGGTTGCTTCACGCCGGTTTTCTGTGAGGCCGTGGTATCACTCCGGTCGAGACGACACATTCGTGCTGAAGCATGTCTCTCCCACACTTAAATTTACTTCACTGACAAAAAGACTGACTTAAAGATAAAGATAAAGATAAATTTATTTGTATAAACATGTGTGGGTAACATTATACATATAGATGCAAATGCAGATGGTAAGGTGATAGCTCTAAGGTTTCAACATGTTTTGCCACAGTTGGCGTACAAAATAATAATAGAATTAGGTAATAAAAACTATTAAAAAGACAACTAAAGTTAAAAATGCTTATATTTCTTGCGTTCATTTCTTACAAAATTATCTTCCAAAAGAGGAAACCAGTGAGGGCTATTTCTTACAAATAAAGCTATTTCTAAGATGTATAGTGACGGAAGTATGTACGGTAACCATATACAAATTGATACTTTTCATAATATGTATTACTCTAAATATCCTCAAACCATTTCAGTATGTGTGTAGATATAATATATACGTACGTATGTCTGTCTGTATATCAAATTGAATTATGTTGCCAGAGGGTTCTTGCCCGTCGAATCAATAATATACTGAACCTCTTGGGAAAGGATTCAATTTCAAAATATATGCAGAATCTATAATATGTAATAGAAAGAACATTTCTATACTAATATTATAAAGATGAAAGATTTGCTAGTTTGTTTGAATTGAAGATTTAAGTGTGGGAGAGCCATGCTTCGGCAACATCGGTGAGATTACCGGAGGCCCAATCACTTCCCTCCCCCAAACCCTCACCAATCTTTAAATCTCCAAAGTAGATTCCTATTAAGAAGAACGAGTAAGAAAATCCAAGGGAACTCTTTTTCATATATTTATTTATCATCACTACATAGTATCGAATGTCGTATAAAACAATGTCGGTATCCGCCATCAGTCTGTCCTATGTATGCTTAGATCTTTAAAATTACGCAACGGATTT